AATATACAAGCATAAGACTTCATTTTAAGCTATTGTGCAATCATGTTTATATACACTGCATAAATGCATGTAAATCATAACAAAAATATATTTTTAAACCAAATTAGTGAATGATGTAGATGTTTGCTTTTTAAACTATACTTTGGTATTTTTCTGCTTCTAAAATAGCAAAACTTCTTGCTAAAAGGAATACTTCTGGGGGCATGGGGAGGGACTTCTGGTGGCAAAGGTCAGGTGTTAGGAGGTGGGACTTCCAGTCATAAGATGGCAACCAGGGGGCAGGGCATCTGTCAAGGGGCGGGGCTACCAATGCAGCCCTCCACAGCTTGCCAGAACTTGGTAAGCAGCCCTCAGCCTGAAATAATTGCCCACCCCTGCCAGCAGGACGGCCATTACATACACAGCAAGCAAAATGCTAGGCATACCTTATGATCCACCATCTTTCTGAAAAGCCACAGGACTCGTGGCTTTGAGCTGAGGAGTCTAACAAACTGACTTTGTCAGGCTCCCCTAATTTGCTTTGTTGCAAGCAAGAAAGACCAAGCGCTTTTTTTATGGCTGTCTTTAACAAGCCTTGGATAAACGAATGACAAACGTGGAAAGGAGGCAGGGGCTCAGGAAACAGAGGCTCTACAGGCTCAAACGGCACAGGGAGCCGCATGCCCATGAGGCACCTGGTTACCGACGGACCTACAGCAGTTTCTGGCCATAAGATCCAGTCCTCGCATCCGCGCGAAAGCGAAGCGCGCCGGTCGCCCACGCACCCGCTCTAGACTGGACCTGTCCCAGGGGCGGGAAAGGCCAGAGCGACGCGGCCGTGGCTCCTCCTGCAGCCACCAGCCTACGCGGAAGTCGGGAGAGGCGCCGCTCCCTAGTAGGGTCGGGCGCCGCAAGGCAGGACGAGGCACCCTCCAGGCCGGAAGCCCGTGACGCAGGCGCGGGGACAGGTCCCGTCCGCCCCGGGGCGCAGCCAAGCCGGCCGGCTAGCCACCTCCCAGGGGCCTGGAGAAGCCGCAGCGGCGGGGTACCTCACCTGGGTGTACAGCAACAACTCCCAGCACTGGCGGCGACGGTAGCAAAACAACTTATCCGTCACTCCGGGCCGTCTGCGCATGCGCCCGCGGAAGCCAGGGAAGCGAGAGAATCCCTCCCACTTGCGTAACAGGCGCAAGAGGCATGTGATTTACATCCTGCGGTCATGTGATACAGCCCTTCAGCCGTCGCGCGAGAGCGTAGGTCACGTAGAGCGTGCCTGCGTTGGAGCGGGCAGCGCGGGTCACGCCGGCGGGGCGGGGCGGGGCGGGTGGCCTGCGGCCCATGTGGAGCGGGAGCGGGAGGCTAAACTAACAAGCGCCCAGCGGCGGCAGCAGCAGGAGGAGGAGGAGGAGGCCGTCGCGTCGCGTCGCGTCGCTGGGCCTTGCGCGCATCCAGCGTGGCCGCGCCATGAAGGGGTGAGTGCG